CTTGTGTGAAATCGCTGGTGTTCTTGCCAGTCCGTCTGCTTTCCTGACCAGTTTTCTGGCTGTTCTGGGAGCTAATTGAATGATCAGGCTTGTGCTGACAGCTAAGCACACCCTCCTGTCTGCATGCCTGAACTAAGGCAGATGGATTCCAGGAAGTAAATGCTACATGAATCATTTGCCCTTACTCAAGATGGCCACAGCCAGAAATGCTAGCGGGGGGGGGGTGTTTTTAAGTGTTTTCTCAGCAAAATAAAGTGTAGAGACATAGACGAGTTTGGTTTGAATATTAAAACAGAATTAAATAGAGCTTTTGGTTTGTGGTGCTCAGATGCAGTGTAGTTCCTCTTAACCGCTCCTCGACCGCTCTATAGCAGATATACTGCTACAGGGCGGCACGAGTGCGCAAAATCATGTATATATACGTGATTGCGCATTTCTGGGTAGGGGAGCATGTGCGTGCCCTACCCATGCCGCTATTTGCATCCACAGCTGTCAATCACCAGGTCCCCGCTGTTGACTACTCCAACAGGGAGGAGAACTGTATGCAAACAATACTGTTCTCCTCTCTGTCAGCTCGTGCACACTGCTTTGGATGGCTGTGCACAGCACAGCCATGCATGGTAATTTGATTACAATGTAAAGCACACACACAGACACAAGTAAAACAGCAAAGAGCACACAGTTAACCCTTCGATCGCCCACATGTTAACCCCTTCTTGCCCAGTGCCCTTAGTACAGTGTCAGTGCTTTTTTTTCTAGCACTGATCACTGTATTGGTGACACTGGGGATGTCAGTGACACCAAGTCAGTTCCCCCCGGTCTCATAATGCCCACCGCAGTCCCATTATAATTTGCTGATTGTCACCATTACTAGTAAAAATAAAAATTCCAGTATCTATACCGCCATTTGTAAATGCTATAACGTTCACGTAAACCAATTAATTTACATGTATTGGGGATTTATTTTAGCAAAGACATGGAACAGAATACATTTTGGCCTAAATTTATGACGAATTTTGATTTTTTACATTTTATTACTGGACATATTTAATAACAAAAAGTCAAAAATATAGTTTTTCTCTCAAAATGTTGGTCATTTTTTTTTCTATAGCGCAATAAAATAAAAACTGCACAGGCAATCAAATAACACTGAAAGAAAGCTCAATTCATGAGAAAAAAAAAGGGTGTAAATTTAATTTGGGTGCAGCGTTGCATGACCGCGCAATTGTCAGTTAAAGTAACGCAGCACCGTAAGGCAAACAATGGCCTGGTCAGGAAGGGGGATAAATCCTCTGGTGGGCAAGGGGTTAACATACACATGAGGAAACTACTATACCTAAACTGCCATTGCTTTTCACCTGAAACTGCTAGCTGCCTGGTTGTCAAATGAATCCGTTGGCTTCAGTAATTGAGTTACAGACCTGAGTTCCAGGAGTACTGATTTCACTTGCTGCATAACTGTTTTAATGTCAGTGACCAAGAACGTAAAGATCAGCATGAAGCCTAGGTAATATGTAACGTCATGATCAGGCTGGAAGTAGTCCTAGCACACATTCCCTTTATAAACCAGTAAGATATATAATGAGCAATGGTACCGTGACAGTTTGGTGTTAGACATTAAACATTTATAACTGTTCCACAGCTTGGATGTTAGTTTTGAATATTATTGCAGGGCTAAAATAAAACCAAGAAATGATCAAGTTATATTTTTGTATTTTTATTAATATCGTTAATAAAGTAACAGCAATAAAACATAGACTGTATTTATGAGGTGGAACTGAACATGCATAAAGTATTTTAATAAGGATAGTTAAATGGCAAATCTAAACAGGCCAGGGTATAACTAAGGCAACTTATCCTGAAGTTCAAACCATTTATTGCAGAGTACTGTCCTGAGCATATACAACAGCTTGGTGATGCTAAAGTTGAACTTCAGACAGCTAAATATACAATTTAAAGTGTTACTAAACCCAGGACCCTGCATTTACTATACTGGTCTCCCATAGTACACACAACATGGAAATGCAATTATTTTAGTAAATATAAACTGCTAAATACCTTTTCTCATCAGCAGTTAGAGCAGTATTGTGACTTCTATCAGTGTCCAGCTGAGCACATGTTAAAGCTTATAGGAGAAGTTTTTCATTCTGCTTTGACTGTCCTATGAGGCTGCATAACCCCTCACCCTCTGTCTGGACAGTGCCAAATTGGCCCTGTGCTGGTTACATGCACTCTTCCAAAAAAAAAAGAAAAAACAACTCTCTAGCCATACACACTAAACTGAGCATGTGCAGAGTGACTCCTAGAGTTCTGCGCTCTCCGTCTCCATCAGCAGATGGATTGTGGACAGTAGAAGAAGGAGAGGATCAGGGAAAGCAGGATCAAACAGCCTTTTTACACAATCCCAAGAAAAAAAACCTCTCTAGTAAAATACACCGAACTGAGCATGTGCAGAGTGTCTCCACAGGATATGACTTATCAGGAATAAAAGGGGGACACTGGAAGAAGGGCATTTACAGATGAGACTTAAAGTGTTAGGAAACCCAGGACCCTGCATTCACTATATCGGGTCTCCTACAGTACACACAACATGGAAGTGCAATTATTTTAGTAAATATAAACTGCTAAATACCTTTTATAATCAGCAGTTAGAGCAGTCTTGTGACTTTTATCTGTGTGCAGCCCAGCACTAGCTAGAGCTTGTAGGAGGAGTTTTCTTTCTGCTCTAGGAGGATGCAGAACCCCTGACCTCTGTCTGGACAGTGCTGATTGGCCCTGTGCTAATCACATGCACTTTTCCAAGAAAAAAAAAACCTTTCTAGCAATACACACTAAACTGAGCATGTGTATGCCTACGGTTCAGCCTGGAGATAAGAGGTGGTCGCTTGAAAAAGGGGAGGAACAGAGAAGAAAGGATCAAACAGTAGTTTTACACAATGTAGAGGATTATCCCCTTAGGTTCCACAGTGAGTATAACAAACATGCTTTACTGCATATACAGACTGATATTACTGTTGTGGGTTTAGTAACACATTAAATACATACATGGGAGCTGTTTTTACCTGCAAAAGATTTGTATTTGTGTCCATCCACTAATGAGATAAACACAACCCTGCCAAGCATCAGAGCCAAGATGATGCCCTGACTTTTCTCTCTGACAGGTAAAGTGGTTGTAAAAGCTCAAGATTTCCACTTTCATGCACTCTATGCATGAAAATAAAAAACTTTCTGTGTACAGCAGCCCCCTCAGCTCCCCCCCCCCCCCCCCCATACTTACCTGAACCCCATCGCAATCCAACAATGTGCACAAAAGCCTCAGCTCTCTGGAGACTCTCCCTCCTCATTGGCTGAGATAGCAGCGGGAGTGAGCCAATGAGGAGAGAAGTCAGGACCGTGCCATGGCTCTGTGTGTGAATGGGCACATAGAATAGTGGCTTGGGAGTGAGCCTGCTTGGGTGCCCCCATAGCAAGCTGCTTGCTCTGGGGTAACTTTGCAGGAAGAAGGGACCAGGAGCACCAGCACAGGACCCAAGAATAGAAATATCAGGGCTAAAATGTGCAAAACCATCACACAGAGCAGGTAAGTATGATGTGTTTTGTTCTTTTTTTAAGATGCCTTTGATATCATACACAAGTCTCACTCAATGCTCCCAGCTTGTGATTGGCCAGTAAAGGAGCAGCACATACAGCACATACAGTAGACAAACAATCACTCTGTTATTCCAACTGTCAGTGTGTTTGTATGCAGAGCAAGTGATTGGTTTTTAGTTCTGCCCCCCTCCATTCCTCTGCGTTACAGAGGGATACTACTAAGTCAAAACGAGGTACTTACATGAGTTGCATTTAAAATGCATATAATATTTTTTTTTAACTAACACTGAACTAATAATAAATTAACCATTTGCCCTCCAGAGGATTTACCCCCCGTCCTCACCAGGCCATTTTGTGCGATATGGCGCTGTGTTAACTGACAACTGCGCACCCAAATTAAATTTACATCCTTTTTTTCCCACAATTTTGAGAAAAAAACAATATTTTTTACTTTTTGCTATTGAACATATCCTGTAAAAGAATTTTAAAAATCAAATTTCATCATAAATTTAGGCCACAATGTATTCTGCCTGGAGATCATTGACAAGATCCTCACGTGTAATTCTGGGATGATTCCTCACTGTTCTCATGATCATTCCATGAGGTGAGATCTTGCATGGTGCACCAGACCTAGGGAGACTGACAGTTGTTTTGTGTTTCTTCCATTTGCGAATGATTGCACCCACTGTTGTCACCTTCTCACCAAGCTGCTTGGTGATAGTTTGGTAGCCCAGTCCAGCCTTGTGTAGGTCTACAATTTTTTTATTTATGTATTTATTTATTTCAGGTACTTATATAGCGCTGTCAATTTACGCAGCGCTTTTACATATATATTGAACATTCACATCAGTCCCTAACCCTCAAGGGGTGTACAATCTAAGGTCCCTAACTTACATTCATACATACACATATTCGGCCAGTTTAGACAGGAGCCAATTAACCTACCAGCATGTCTTGTTCCTGACATCCTTGGACAGCTCTTTGGTCTTTGCCATGGTGCAGAGTTTGGAATCTGATTGTTTGATTGCTCCTGTGAACAGGTGTCTTTTATACAGGTAACAAAATAAGATTAGCAGCACTCCCTTTAAGAGACTGCTTCTAATCTCAGCTTGTTACCTGTATGAAAGACACCTGGTAGCCAGAAATCTTGCTGAATGATAAGGGATCAAATACTTATTTCCCTCATGAACATGAAAATCGGTTCATAATTTGTTAGATATGCATTTCTTTTGAATTTTGTGTTGCTATTCTGTCTCTCAGTGTTACAAAACACCTACCATTCAATTTTTAGACTGAACATTTTTTTGTGAGTGGGCAAACATTCAAAATCAGCAGGGGATCAAATACTTATTTCCTTCACTGTATCTCTCTCTAATGCAGGGAAAATGTGTGATTTTTCTCCATCACTGATGTGCGCTAATGAGGCTGCAGTGATGGGCACTGATAGGCTGCACCGATGAGCACTGATAGGCCCTGATGAAGAGGCACTGGTAGGTGGCACTGATGGGCATTGACAGGCATCACAGATTGGACACAGCTGATCACATGACAGAGCTGAGGTCTTTGGTTCTTTCCATTGATCGGTGATCCGCTGTGTCCCAATGACACAGCGCACTACCGATCGCCGCACTGTGCGCCCCTGGAGGCACGCGCGGTTAGAGTGGGAGGACGTCATATGACGTCCTCCCAGAGTAAGAGAACCACCTCGTGCCTGTCATTTCCTTATATGGTGGGCGGGAGGCGGTTAAAATTATTATTGGGCTCACACCAATGTGGTTTTTAGTGCTTTTTATAATAAAACAATATAAATGACGCCACACAAAAAATCTAATCTAAATGGCCCAATTACTCTTTTACCAGCTGCAAACTGCGCCCTATAATAATAGGTGTATAAACAAAAAACTAAATAATTTGCACTAGTAAAAAACTTATATATAAATACACATATATGTGAATAAATGTCCCAAAACAAATAAATATCAAATAAAGTCCAATAAAAAGTGAAAAAACAATAATAAAAAAAAAAAATAAAAAAAGTCCAAATAAAGTGAAAATAATGTATAGGTAAAAAAAATGTTTTGAGAAAACCGTGACAATCCACCACCAGAAAATACTAAAGTAACTCACCAGAGCTAGATGCTGATAATATTATAAATCAGCATAAAGTGCTTTTGCTCTGGGAGCGATGGTCAGCAAGCTGATGAAACGACAATTGGCTTTAAAAGACTTGATTTCCAGGGAGCAATACTCTGCAGCAAGGAAAATCCACTTCTTATAGACACCTCCACAGGATATTAGACCAGGCACTCGGGAAAAAACAATAACTCATAGTGCAGTACCTTTTAAAATAGATTCATTTAATATGCACACTTTGAACTTACAGCAAAATGTGTCCTAGTCGACACCAGCAACAACAGCATGTTAGACACAATAGACGAACCCAGCTACTCCGCACATGTGCCGTAGACCACTGGGAAACGTAATGACGTCCCATCAATCAACCCCGCCCTACGCGTTTCATCATAGACTCTTCAAGGAGCGGAAACGCTTGGAGCGGGGTTGATTGCTGTGACGTCATTACGTTTCCCAATGGTCTACGGCGCATGTGCTTTCCAGTGGAACCTGTTTTAGCCCCAAAGTGTTGTTCAGTTGTGTATCAATGCTCATGGTTTTGGAACGACTTATTTAACAAACTCGTATATTGTAGGAGTGACGGTCAGGTGTCCACAAACGTTTGATCATATAGTGTATGTGTTACCATTTACCACCAAAAGGAAGCCCATTTTGTCCTGAAAAAAACAAGGTATAATCCACCTGTACGGTTTTACTAGCACATGTCAAAGTTGCAAAACTGTGTTTGTTTTACACTTAGTCACTAAAGGGTTAAAAATGAAAATATAGAACCTTCCACTGATGGCTTGTGTTGAAGGCGTAACCATGGATTCTATCATGATTCTAGCTTCACTAACAAGGCGACTGACCTGGAAAGGCTGAAAGGTCTGAGCTCTTCATGCTTGTTCCAGGTCAATGACTAGCTGAATGGTAAATCCTGGATGAGAATAATAACCCTGGAGCCTGTGCTTTTAACCACTTCCCAGTTCAGTTCTAAGGACTGTTTATTCCTTACTGTATAGGGATGAGCTGACTTTTGTTGGAACGCTGAGCAGTTGGAATGTTTGGTGTGGATGAACGCGACAACTTCCTGCTGTCAATGGTTGCTAAGAAAGCTTTAGGTGTTTGTAGGAAGGTGTCGCATTTGGTCTTTTTTTTTTTTCTTAATGAAATAGATTGTACAAAATACAATTCACAGTTGAATTTCACAGTGACGTTTCCATAAGGGCGCGCAGATGTCAAAACAGCATGAAATAAACATACACAGAAGTGTAAAAACAAGGAATGGTTGAGGTTAAGCCTTCAAGGGTAGTTTCGACTCTCATGAATACTGAAATATGTATCTCAGTGGAGTGAAATGATTGTAGAGTATGTATATCTAAAAATGTATACCCACATTTCCAAGAGTCAGCTCCCAGGAGGTATGGTTTGCAAAAGGTTAGAAACGTGAAAATCATGTAAGGGTTCATGTACACTGCAGCTGATAAACTCACATTCAGGAGCTTTTCTGCATTTTTTTCAGCAGCCCCTGAACTCTCCCTAATGTTTTCCTATGTGTCCATGTACACTATGTCATTTACAGTTGTTCACAGGCAGTTGAGTTTACAGTCATTTTTTTGAACGCACCAAACTTGCGTTCAGGAGTAGATTTTATCAGCACACCAGCGCAGTCAGTTCCAGGCTTTGCGTGAAGGAAAAAATGGTAGAACATGCTGCATTATGCTCATGATGGGATCCATAGTGAATACAACCAGAAAAGACAGGTCATCTCAACGCATACTGCTCTCTGCTTCTGCTCTCTCTATTCCTCTCAAAATGTCTGAAATGGTAAATTTTTTACTGTTTTTCAGTGCATTCTGGGCATTTTGGAAGGTCTCCTGATGTTATCTTTAAAAAACGCTTCTAAACGCAAACGCGCATAAACGTGATATACAAACGCGGCTAAACAGACATTTTTTTACCGATGTTTTCCAGCAGTCAGTTTCCATCGTTCACAGGACGTTTGGAAAACACTTCTGTACATGGAGCCTAAGGCTCCATGTGCACTGGGCTTAAAAAAAACGCCAGTTCCCTAGGCAGAAAAAAATGCTGACATAGAGCGTTTTTGCGCAAAGTTTAGGCCAGTTTAGGAGAGTTTAGAGTTTTTTCTGTTAGAAAGCTCCAATCAAAAACGCAAACCAGAAGGTTTTTTTCCTGCCTTTATATGTTAACCCTAAAATATGCCTGTAATCATCCTAATGTGCATGGGTGCATAGGATAACACTGAGCTGCTTCTACAGGCCAAACACAAAACCTGTAGAAGCAGCGATTTTTAAACCATTGTACATGGAACCTAAGCCTGGGTTCACATATACTGTATGCAGTGCAGTTTGTGCACGGTGCTATTGGAGCCATACATTTTTATGGCTCCAATCGCACCCCACCTGCACCATGGTGCAGAACCCTTTTTTGGGTTCGCATTAGAATTGGATCGCATGGGTATTCACACACCTACGCGATCCGATTCTGCACATCGCACCATGTTTTTCAGACTGCTTTAAGGGTGTTGTTAACATACACCCCCGCAGCGGTTCGTTTGAATGGGGTGCGATTCTGAAGCTGTGTGGAATTTGCACAGAAAATGCTGCGAATTCAGCACCACATCAGTGTGAACCAGGGCTCAGTTGTCAAAAAAAAAAAGCACCCTAAGAGAAGGACTAAGCAAAAACTAATGACTGCTTCAGGAAAATGAAAAGGTATAAAAAAAAGCAAGTAATAGGGAGCAAGGAGAGAAAGCACAGGGAAGAGGCTCAGGTCAGATTCCCATGTGCAGAACAAAACACTCTGCATATATGCTTCAGTGAGTTAGAGTGTCCATACTGAGTCATTAAGATTACCCCCCAAGTTAGATCCCTTTTGTTTGTATAAAGGATTTATAATAATTATTATAATAAAGTACTTGTTGAAAACACTACCATTTTTTAATTTGTGAATGAGCCCTTATTTTTTCCAATACTGATAAGCCCTCGCCCACAGACTTCAACAATCCCAGGGCCAGGATGGTGCATTAGGGGCCCTTGTCAGGGGCCATAAACCCATGGTGACCAGATGATTTACCGGGATGATTCCCCAATTTGGGGAATGTAGCCTGGTATTGTTCAGGGATGGTTTACTTGCTCATCATCCCTGCCAGGCTGCATGCTCAGATGGTGGTCTTGTATGGCATTTTGGGGGAACGTCACACTTATTTCTTGATTATTGCATGGGGCTATACCTTAGTACTCATACCAAACCTGAAGAATGTGGTATGAATTATGGGGGAACCCCACACCCCTTTTTGTGTGTGGGGGTCCCCATTAACATCAATATCAGACCCGATTTAGGATAAGGGTCTGGTTTAAATAAATGGAATCCCTATGTGTTTGTTTACAAATCGAATGAAGGAGCTGGGAGCTGCAGGCAATTTTTTGTGTAAATGTCAGTTTTGTTGTAGTATGTTAAATACGTCGCACAGATACACCACTTCTCAGACAAGGGCAGGGCACATCCAGGCATGTTGGAGTTTAGCATTTTTAATGTTCACTTTAATCATTTTATAAAAGCAGTGCTCCCTGCCAATGAAATTTTACAACTTTTTTTTACTTTGGGACATGCCCCCTAGGGCAGTGGCCAGCCCCCAGTGTCATTTTTCTGACATTCCCTTGAATGGCAGCACAAGGTTGTTGGTTTGAATCCCAACCACGGCACCTGCCTGGAGTTTGCATGTTCTCCCTGTGTCTGCGTGGGCTTTCTCCGGGTACTCTGATTTCCTCCCAACTCCAAAGACATGCTGGCAATAAAAGTGAGTACACCCCTAAGTGAAAATGTCCAAATTGGGCTCAATTAGCCATTTTACCTCCCCGATGTCATGTAACTTATTAGTGTTACAAGGTCTCAGGTGTGAATGGGGAGCAGGTGTGTTAAATTCGGCATTATCGCTCTCACTCTCTCATACTGGTCACTGGAAGTTCAACATGGCACCTCATGGCAAAGAACTCTCTGAGGATCTGCAAAAAAGAATTGTTGCTCTACATAAAGATGGCCTAGGCCAGTGGTCGGCAAGCCGCGGCTCGCGAGCCACATGCGGCTCTTTACCCAGTCTAATGCGGCTCTTCTGTGTGCCGGGCGCCTGCTCCCCTCCCTCCTCTCGGTCGGCCGCTCCCCTGCCTCCTCTCGGTTGGCAGCCCCAAAAGTCCGCGCGGACCTTTTAATCCGGCCTGCGCATGTGGCTGTCAGGATGTGTGTAGGCGGGGCAGCGTGCCGAACGTGAGGGGAGGGGAGCTAGGCTCCTCTCACAGTCCGCCCTGAAGACCCGAACGGCGCGGGAAGACAGCGAGAGGAACGCAAAAGGTAAGTGAAT